CCCTTGCCTCTAGCTTGCCTAAAAAAAACAGAGTGGATACATATCATATTGTTATTGATTTGTTAAAAAATTGCTATAGGCGATTAGCTGGGTGTACTTTTTTGCTATCTGTAAAGCATTATTGCATTTTCACACATCTTCCCCCAGAGTGTATAGGTAATGTGTTCATCAAAATATTGTTTTTTTTTACTGTTCAAAATCATTAATAAGAATCTTATTTATTTTTGGGTTTTTTTTATCTGTAATAATGATATGTGTTTGTTCTAATATCAAATTTTTTGAGATTCCTAGCAGTTTAGTTCTTTTTCTTAGAAGATAAAGGCAGTGGTGACACCAGTGGGATGGGGGAAAGGGGCCAGAGACCCTGTCAGGGGGGTGCTGATGCTCATTCATTAGGCAATCTCAGCAAAGAGGAGGTATTGTTTCCATGATGTTTATATACTAATTTTTGTCACCAGTTGCAGAGGATTCGGAGTTATTTCGCAGTAAACAGAGTCTATTTTTAACAGGGGTGGCACCAGTGTGGTGGGGGGAAAGGTTCCAGGGCCCCTGTCAGAAAGTGCTGACACTCATTCATTATGCAGTCTCAGCAAAGAGGAGGTAATGTTTCCATGATGTTTATGTCCTAATTTTTGTCATGTGTACAAAAAACTTTACCTGAAACTCAAAGCTATCAATAATTATTTTTCAAAATGATGTCAGCTTTTTGAACTGAATGTGACTTGTGCATTTGCTTTATAGTAAGGTAGCGTTATAAACTCCAGCCCATTTCTAACACTTTGCAAAAATAATGACATTTCCCACCTTTAACTTTTAATAAGATACAGTAGATAGACTTGTAGGGAATGGGCTTCATGTCTAATGAGCAAGTTGAATTGGAAGTGCTGGTAAGAATATTAATTATGGAAGAGTAGCACAGATCTAGGGGTACATTTGGGCTGTATTGGATTCTGGCATTTTTTACAAACTGCTGGCCATATTCCAGATTGTGGGGTGAAGCTCAGAGAAGATTTTTGTTGGTTAAAGCTTGTACAGTTAAAGCGTGAATTGTCTCAGTTTACTCAGGGAGTTGTTATTGTACCATGTTACAGACCGGCCCTAGTAATTGATCCGCACATTAAATTCTCGTTTACATAATTATTTTCAGTTGTAGCATTACTAAGGCTACGGTCACACTAGAGTCTCAAGCCTGGCTTGACTCACCGCGGGTGAGATTTCAAGCCAGACTCGAAATTCTGTGTCGGTCACACTACCTGAATTTAGTTTAGATTGACCTCAAATTAGGAAAGTGGAAACAGGAAGTTAGACGCCGCCACAATCAAAATACCGGCCCCGCGCGCGAATCTAGATGATCTAGGCCTAGGCTCGGATGTAATGGCGATGCTAGTTTTCGGATTGATAAGTGCATTTATAAATGACAACTGATGATTGCCGCGGGTTTTTTATTCAAGAACTTCTAAAAGCGACGGCGTCATCGACTGTGATTGATCGACAGCCAACGAGGAAATGTCAATCCCGGTCACGCCAGGGTCAATATGGGTACTGAGCAGGGATCGAGATAGTTAGATTGAGATCGAGGTCACGCCAGGCGCGAGTCAATCCAGGTGCACATTACATCACATTACGAAAATCTCACCCGCAGTGAGTCAAGCCAGGCTTGAGACTCTAATGTGACCGTAGCTTAACAAAATGATGTAATCTGTCCAGAGATTGTCACACAGTTGATCACTCATTGAAGGTTGCAAAAGTTTGCCTGCAATGCATCTTATTAAAAGTGTACAGGAAATAAGCCAACAGTTGTGTGCTTTTTCTTTATAACAGTGTTTTCAAATAGAAATGTAAGGCCTTGTATCTAGGGTGGCCTCTAGGCACTAAAATATATGGCCTAGCCCAGGGTAAACCTTTTCAATCTCTCATCTAACCAGGCCGGGAGTTGCTTGTTTCAGGGGCTTGTCCTCACCCTTACTGTAAAATATATTCTAACCTTATAATATATAAGTGTTGATCATGCTATGTATGAAGCTTGCTCCTGCTCATCCATAATTAGCACAAAAACTCAACAATTTGCAGCATTAACACTAAAAAATTGTGTTTATTCAGTTACTTCATATTAAGAATCACGTAAAGTATGTTACCGAAAAATGGCTGCCGTTGTTGTCAATGTTACTGTTGTTGAATGTTCGTTCAATGCTTTACAACTGTAGTTGCTACTCGACAGAAATCCCCAAAGGAAACGTAGAAACATAGGTCACTACGATATAATACTGATTTTGAAACAAAATCAAATGCCTCTACTAATAAGAACAAGAATCAAGACACAATATAATACTAGGCCTATTATGAAGATTAACGATTTATAATTATATTTTAAAATACCTACCAAACGCCCCGCACTCCCAGATTTTCCATCTCTTCTAGATATTATTCATGAGAAACGATGATATGTAGGCCTAACAATTTTATGGTATTTATAACTGCAGTTAAATACAATACCACTGGTCGAGGAATTATTTAATATATGTACATTTTATGTTCATTTTTTAAAATTAATCATCATATCAGTTTATGTTTTTTGTTCATAAATTATTCCATTTCATCAGTATAATGTCATTTCTTGTTCCACTTGAAGTTTTGGTACACCTCAAGTAAAATATTAAAACTAATTATTAATATATCATTATTTTATTGAAAGATTATTACAAAGAATATAATAAAAATAACATATGCTCCTTATCATTAAACCTAACCATATAAAATGCAGGTTTATGCCTCACTTAATAGTAAGCAGTATGTAATGAAGGTACCACCTGCCAAACCACCAATTTTTAAATCGGATTTTTTCTAAGAAGACGCATGATCGCAGCTTACTTCGAGTACTGGAAGTATGAACACAGGTTTATGCGTCTATAACACCAGTTTCATTGTTAGGAATCTTCTGAAAAGTGTTTTAACCTTGCTTAAAAATTCTTTAAACCTATAGACATAATTAATAGTTTATACTTTCACATGAGTAAGGACAAATGAAAAATTATCGGATTCCTTATCAGAAATATAGGCCGCAAAATGGTTCGACATAGAGTTTTACTATTTGAGCAACATTGGACTCCTGGTTTGTTGTTTATGTCCTCTCCTCTAGCTGTAGTGCTGCGCTGTGGAAGCTGGTCTGTATGATAGTACATCAAAGGCCTCGTTATCTCCCGTAAATAGCCTTCGTATTTAGCAGTTCTTGATGAGTTTATTGTGCCTTAAGGCTATGGTCGCAGTTTAGAGGACAGCATTGGATCTCCAGTCACTATAACAACTCCCTGGTTTACTTTATTAATGTTATTTTAATCGCCATTGCTCTGAAGAGCTTTTCAAACTTGCCATCTGTTTGTAGGTTTTCAAGAAACACCTGATTTGCTTTGATTTGTCAACTGTTAACTCTTGAACATCCAAAATGCAGAACTTCCACATTTTCCAATTCATTGTTCGTTGTTCGGCTTCTCTTTAGAGTACTTATCAGCAGATTGTTTTCCAATTTCTTTTCATCTTGCATATTTTAAATCTTGTGTCAACGGTTTTCTTTTTAATTATCTTAACCCTTTAACTCGAGTGGCCCTTGGCTTTGTTTGGGGTGACTGAACATACAAAAAAAAATGTTTTAATACATAAAGCTTTACATTATAGTGTGGATCTAATCTTTGGTTGCATTTGTAATAATGCAAGATTTTGATAAAGAGTAAGCATTTCAGTAGACACAATTGGTATTGGTTCGGTTGGTAGAAACAAGTCTTCCCAGATAAGGAATGAAAATGGAGGTCTGGTGCATGCATCTGGCTTGTGTCCACTTTAAAGAACCCATTGCATCTTTCGGAAGAGTAGGGGGTTACGACAATGCTATGGTTAATTTCAGCCGCTGGCGTTGTGGAATGATGTGAACTAGTAGCTACTTTAAGCTATTCTTAACAGCCGCTAGTTAGTCACAGACCACGCCCATATACAATTCAGCACAGTGAAGCGAGTTATGGGTTATTCTCCTATCTTTACCTTAAAATTTAAGTATCAAATAGAAAAAAGTAAAAAAGAATAATTACATTCAAAAGTAAATTATAAAAATAGAGGAAAATTGATCTAAAAATAATGTTACAGCATATTTACAATTTACTTTGACATTTAATAGGTGTAACAAACCACTGATAATGTGAGAAGTATATGGCAAGGAAAGGTGATATGTTCAAAATAGTGTTATTATACCGGTACTTATTTTTGGGTGTGGGAATTCATGTAATCCTTGGATTTTTGAAGTTTTATGGTCGGTCGCAACGTAACAATTTTTTGGGTTTATTTTTGGGGTCAATTGATATATAGAAAACAAAGAGTGTGTATATTAGGATTTGATTGGTATGAAGAAAAAAAAATCTAATATAAATTATTGATAAATATAAATGATACTGCTAAATATCAGGGGTCCCAAGTTGTGGAAGTGAAATTCCTGGAGATTTTGTCGTGATGGTCATTCCAAGGATTGTCGCGCGCCGCGACGCGCTGCGGCGCATGTACTGCAGTTACATCATCACCGTCAACACACTTTATAAACGGAAACTTATTGAAAATACTACAATAAATAAACAGTACACATTTATTATGCTGCATCACTTAATGATATTTAATCATTACAGCAAAAACATTAATTTATTTTACAGGACATTAAGTTTACTAGGGATGCATGAGAGAGACTTGCTCTAAATTGTGTCCTTATATGGTTCATTATGCTAAAAGCCCTGTTGTTAAAAAATCCTTAAAAGTGCGATTCAGAATTTTAAAAAGAAACACGTTCACGCTGGAGAACGTCCTAGGCTAGGACTAGGCCTAGAGACAACGAAACTTACTTCAACATGAGCCTTAACGGCCCTCAGCCCCTCGTACTTGATAGAGATCTCGGCATTACAGATAGTGCACCTTGCCTTATTTGGGTCGCGCAATTTAAAATTTGAATATTTTTTTTGTTTCTTTATCAGGCTATGAGGGGAATGTTTTCACAAGTTTTGATGTAAATTGTTCAGACTCTATAATCTGTGCAGGAACTGAGAAAATTGGAGAAGATGCTTACCTAATGTTTTGGTGAGTACAGTATAATCTAAAAAAGAAAATGTGATTAATTTTTTAGTATTTACATTGTATATATGTTGCAATTTTCTTTTTGGATGAATATTTAATTTGAATTCATTTTGATAAAACAAATATAAGGTAACAGGAAGACAGTAATTAAATATAATGTGATCTTTAATGTTAGTTATGAATCTGTAACTGTGGAAGTGAAAAATCACAATGTGAATGTTAAACATCACATTTTACTAATTCTGCTCTGTATACTTTAGTATGCATGCATAGACCTGGTTTTGCTCTATGTTCAGGATATGAAACTGACCAATTCTGTGTTCACATTAATTTGTAGCAAGCTACCTAATTTTCTTATGACTACTTATGATGAAAACTTCCTAGTAACATGGTATTTTTTTCTCACTTTCAAATCAATTCCAATTCCCTATTACTGTAAGGCAAGTTGATATATCAAGATTCCTCTCCAGTAATTAATAAGTGTTTATGCTGTTGAATGTGAAACATATAAAATAATGTATCGAAATACAGGAAAGCTTAGTCCGACAGAGTGAATCCAATCCTCCATCATTAGGTTATTCTGGTACAATCCAAATCTATTCTAAAATTTAAAGCCTGGCTCCAGAAAAAAAAGTTGATATGTTGAACAACTGGAACTGTTAATGAGTCAATTGAGATATATATTGAATTGAGTCTGTGTCTCTCCATCCATTCCCCCCCCCCCAACACCTCCAGCAGGTTGGTTTACTTTCTGGTAAAAACCGTATATTGAAATATCTATTTCCTTTGTCATCTAAAGTATGATAAAACAAGTATTTTATTATGGTAATGGTAATGGTTGGAGATTCTATGCTCACGCTATCCGTTTGCAATTTGCCAATGTTCAATTTAGATACCATTTGGCAAAAACAAAATTAGCATCGTTAGCCAAAATGGTGAAAGCAAATTTTCATAGAAACAAGATTAAATTTCATCTACGCTAGGCCTGTACTAGGCTCTTAAGTAATTACCATTTCGAGCAGCGGCAATATTGCCTTACTAAGCGACCCTATATTTACCTCATTTGCAGTACAGATTTACAGACACTGTCAAGTACATGTGAAAAATCCAAGATAGATAGGTCGTTGTTCTGAGCATGTGTATGGAATACATGGACAGTTTTGAAGAAAACAGTCTGATCATTGCCTGTACATGACACGCTAAAGAGAACGTTAAAACGATATTATTTCTTCGGCGATTGTATTATACTACTTAAAATTATAAATATTCCGAAAATCCGAATCTCTCCTAATTCTGAACGTATTATTCGGTCCAAACACAATCATCAACTTCTAAAACCGGACGACGATCAGTTATGTAAACATAATAAGAAATAATAAAGCAACAAGCATAGACCTACCAGATGCCGTGAAAACAAATGTCATGGAGATTATAATGAATTCATTAAAATGACACGCCAGTAAATGTAATGTTGCATACAATAAAAGTTACTTTACACCAAACAACACTCAGAGAAAGTTTCTGTGCGTGATTCTTTTCAGTAGACGTTTAGACCTAATTTGGACTCTTGACGTCAGCGTTTAATTCGACAGTGTAGATTACAAAAATGTATATCCTCACTCATGTTGCTATTTTAATTACGGAGAAAATTTGTAGAGAATGAAATTTATATTTGCTAGATTTGTATATATATATCTCTAAAATAAACCCATTAGGATTTCTTTATTTGTTTGAATAAATCTGTTTAATTAAATTGGTTGTTACACTGAGCTGTGCTTGTCACGCACTACGAAACTTCTGGGCGATCTGATGTCATCGCAATCGAAGCATGTGTTGGCACACCACCACACTGCACCCCCACCACACTGCAACCCCGAAAAAAATTAACCAAATGGCGGGAAGAGATGACAAAGAATGCTCTCCGAAAAAATAATTAACCAATTGGCCGGCAGAGCTTCAGAAGCGCGGTGTCAGACCCACAGCAAGAGTCATCATGACGATGAAAAATGTGTTGTGTTTAGAAGAAAATACATAAGACCGAAAACACATGTTAAAACAATATAAAAACAGTTCTATTGATAATTACATTTGCTGTGCTGTAGAGCAAAACAACAGGTAGGGCCTATTCTACTCTACGTTCCAGTACTTGAAACAGCAGTTACTTGTAATGCAGCCATCAAAAAGTGAAGCACTCTAGGCCCAGCATATTCAGGGCTTAAGCATAGCAGCACTAAAGCAGGTCCGGTAGCCGCCGGTCCCGCATATCGTTTGTGTTTTCTTTGTGGTTAATTAAATCATTAATACTGTTTTTACCACCTTTACGACTGGTTAAAATTGAATATGATATAAATAAGAAAGGAATTTATTTATGGAACCGTTTTTGTGAAATCTCATTGGTTTTTAAATTTGGCTAAAGCATTTTCAATTCGGTGAAAAAAATTAAAAACCTTTCACCATTTCGGCGAAAGAAAATTTTACCCTAGTGTGAGCGTAGAGATTTATATAGCGTATAAAACGTAGTCTCTATGTGCTGTACAGGAAAAACAAAAAAAAAGCAATATCTATTCTACAAGGGCAACTAAGCTTACCAAGCTAAAATAAATAACCAAATTTATGGACTACGCTGATATCAAAGTATCTTCATATACCTATTATTAATATCCCCTAATTTAATTTTGTATTAATGGAGATTGCCATCAAGTCAAAAGTAATGTTTAATATTCTTGATCAAGGAACATGATCCTTTATGATTTATAACCAACATTTATGAGGCTTTATTGAGTATTAAAACTTTTTTGTTTTAAGCAAAAAAAAGCCTTTCATTTGTATTTGACAAATACCTGATGTACTCATATTCTCATATTTGGGTGTGGTTTGATGTTATCATGCATGTGACATCATCATGGCCTTATATGGGCATATCCCAGATGTTAGTCACAGCAAAAAATTAATGATATATACAGAGCAATATGATTACATAGATATTTTTATGAATAATATGAAATTATAAATTTATATTTTACTGATAGTATTTGTTCCCTAGTGGTCACAAGTTGGAAGAAGTAATTTCCATTTCTCGTTTAATGAGGTTTTTTGCACATTATTTTGCTATGCATGGTAATTGCCTTAGTGAGACAATTGATAAGATAGTAAAATTAGGCATATCTGGTAGATTATTTCCTTGGGATTATCACTTTCTCGACAGACTCCCACGATTCACAGGGGACTTTTTAACCACTGGGTCCCAATGAAGACAATAATTTTTTTTTCATTGTACAAGAACTACTTGAAAACATATTCTGAACTTCACAAAGTTGAAAGTCACAATATTATACTTAGAATAATGTATTAACTTTAATGTGCATACAAACAAGTTACGACACTATGCATTCAAATAACTATTTAGAATTAATCAACTTTAATGTGCTTAGGCTATATATAAACCTCAGGATATCTGAATTCGGTTTTTTGTTTTGTTACACTGAAGATGTCGTAGTGAATACGAAGAAACATGTCTGATTCTATCAAAATTATTTTTGTTGCTCTTAAATTCGTCTTTATATTGCTTTCTGTTCGAAAGTTTCGCTGTAGTATACATGACTTTATTTACACTGACCAGTACGGTCACAAAGCAAGGCCTTAAGACTTTGAGAAACTCATCTAGAAGGTGGAAAAAGTAAACACAGACATAAACGTTCTTAAAAATTGCATAATTTTCAGCATTTTTTCTCAATATTTTATATTTTTGCAGTTAACTACAAATTTTATCACACGTTCTCATTTTTAGTTTCTCCTTCCCCTCTTCTCTCAACAATGATATCTTCATCTCATCCTAATAATTTTCTTCCTATCCTTCATTTCTTCCTTTCTGTCCTCTTTTCTTTTTTATTTTATTCATCTTACTTTCTCTCATCTTATTCTCTAATCTATCAGTTCTCCTCTTCCTCTCTAACAAAATTTTAATGTACTTGAAGCATTTTCTGAGTGCCGTACATTTATCCTCAAATAATTCAGTGAAATAACACTTAATATAGTGCGTGTCATGTAGATACAGATAAGTAGTGTTGTAAAGGAAGTACAAATAGTAAAGAAATTAACATCACCAGAGATGTCTTGCAGCAAATAGCTTTTACAAATTATTTAGTGGCTCTATCAAGTTCGGAAAAAATAATTTGTAATGGATACTACTTGTACATACGTAATGTAATGTCAAATCTTTACTGTCCGTAGAATCGGAAGGGGAAAGATAATCAAGGCCAAATAATGTTTTTAATGTCAACTGTGACTCAAGTAATTTACTTAAGTTTGTTTTTCTTGAGATTCATTTTTGCCTTGAATTGTTTGGAAAATATATATCTTTAAAGAGACAAGTAGTTTTAAAATTACAATAGTTTTCTTTCATTAATCTTGAATAATAAAGTTTTTATAGTTTCGATTCTTTTCATATACCGGCTGCTTTCACAACCTTCATTCTCGGTCATTTATACCCAGGCCTATTCAATATCATAATTCAAATTTTAAAGTATGATTCATTTTTGGAAAATTTTTATGTAGTTCTAAAATTTTAATGAATTTTCATATGAAATTTTATGAAATGGTTTTATATACCGTAATGTATTTGTAATCATAGCGGAATACATTTAATTTCCATTTACTGTTTTATGGATGAATGAAGTTTTACCTTACCTTATCCTTATTAGAAAAACAATAATAATAGTGTTTTGAACTAGAATATATTAATACTGATTATAATATAATATTAGGACAGGATTGCTACTATGACGATGATGAAATCTTAGGTTTGTGACCCACTAGTGGGTTGTTGAAAACATGTTGGTAGGCTATGTGGCTTTGACAGAAATTACAAAAAGAAATTGCTAATACTGTATATTTACCATTGCTAAACCTATTTATTATGTAACGTAAGATAGACCAAATGCCTAACACCTGATAGATATCAACAAGCGCCCAATTTGAGTTCAAAGAATTCTGTCCCATAATTC